TTATTGTGCACTAGCAAATCTGAACATACAGCGTCACACTCTTGCCATGTCAGTTCATTGCATTTCACTCTGCGTTGTACTTTTCCGTATAGTCCTTCTACTGCATAACATATCGATTTCTTTTTTAACGATGCACCTATTTTTGAGGTATTTGATGCCTAAGTGATCTCTTCGATCGATGATAAGCATACACGTGTCAAGTACGTGAGCAATTGCTGTGATCACAAACAACCACTATCGCCTCGTTTTCCAGTCACAAACCCATCAATTCCCATCAATGAATTTAGCCAACCAGTCACAGTATCCCAATGGTCGTGAACATGGTGATGCTTACGGCGTTCATGCGCTGTTGTTTTCCGATATCTGTTTCAGCTCCCGTACATTTCTGTTTTTGTGACTCCTGCCTGGGGTGGAGCAATGCTTGTGGCGGCCATTTGCGTGATTATCACTAATGTGCAAGGGAAAGGTGCACAGACGGTGTAACTTTACGTGGGAATATAAACGTTAACCAAAGTGGTGCCGACAAATTCTCCGCCCACTCAATTTCCCATGTATTTCTAGTATGTCTGTATCTCTACCATTTCTAATGTTCATTATGGTATCGTACAAATATTTAGCCTCCGGTCTCCTTTACAGAACGCCTGTAATGTTTGGATGGGTGGTGTGTTCTGACTCCCGCTGGTGTTTTGTTGCACGCGCCAATTTCTCAGCAGACTTTCAACGAGGCCTACGTATTCCAGGCCCAGGCGCGATGGGTACTAGTTCTCGTGTTAATAAATTAATGATAGACACAATTATTTCGGGTCAGATGCCGCATTTTCCAAAAATTGCACCTTTTCACCATCATTAAGCATTACTTTTTCGGTATCACTTCGGCATTTATAAGCATCATACACACGAAAGCATGCTTCGTGGCCATGTGGAACCTGGACAGGCGTGTTTGTCGTTCAATTACGATTACAACGGTTTGTATTTGTGCGTCTTTTGAGCATGCATTTATGATATATTGCCCGTTATTGTAACAATGTCGGCCCACCGCGCGCGTTCCGCAGCATCGCTGATTACCGCCCGCCGGCCGCGTAAATAGTGAAGTTCGCCGTGCAGTGTTGCATAAAATCCGCCACTGCTCTAAAACCAGAGAAGATAGGAACACGTTTTGATGCCAAAACACCGAGACATGCAGAACTAGGCAGCAGAAACTACTGTACATTGGGCGTTTAGTTATTTTGCAGACTTTCTGTTGAAGTCTGGCGCTGACTTAGAAATTATTCACTGCAGGCGATAGGCTTTGTGATAGAGCCTGCTCTGCATAAAATGATCACAGTGCATGCGAGTCGCACTGACACATTGTTAACGACGGACAAAACTAGGAACGAAAATCCTTCCAAGATTTGAGGTGTTCATTCCAACGGTCCATAGCCGAGCCATCCACCACCAAGGCATGGGCTGGTACAGCTTTCAGAGGTCCACAGCCGAGCCATCCACCACCACGGCGTCGGCTGGTACAGCTTCCACGCCTGTGTCAGCTGGGACCGGGCTTTCCGAAAAGTCTGACCCGAGATCATATATGAGCGTGGATTAGATCAACCCAGAAGATCCTTACGAGATCCGAGCGAGACCTTTACTGCTGATAGGTGAGGAGGGTGGCACATGGTAGCCGCCGCCATAAACAACCGCCTCAACAGTTCACCGAATATTTTACATCTTAACGCATCTAGCCATAGTCACCAAATGAATTCAACGTGGTTGGAAACAATGATGGGAGGAAGCTAGTATGGCTAAGCGAATCAGATGGTACATCATTGCACCCAGATGCGTAGCCAAAGTTATCTAGTATAAACTTCCCGACACAGGCCCGGCTCAGGGTTTTGCGTCTGCCTGCCCTTGCAACAGACCTGACTAGACCATATGCAGAAGGCACAAACGATGAAGTGTAACCCACACTGACTTGGTTAGTTCGCCGCACTTTGAATCGTTTCATGCAAAATTAGATGTACTTTGTAGGTTCGCTGACCTGCGACAGGTCAGAGTCAAGCCGTGGATTCGGAGAAGTCAGTTTCTAGGGAGTCGTGCAAGGCACTCTTTTAGCTGCATTGCTTTTTCACGCTCGACCGGTAGCACTAAAACTGTTCCAGCCCAAGCGTGGCACAATTTCTACCATTTGTGACTTGGTAGTATGGAGTAGCTGTTACATTTGCACAAAACAGTTTATAATACATTTGACATTTTATTCGCATTTTGCGTGGGTGTGCTTGGTCAATGAGTTGTGGAATTGTCGACCAAAATGACCTAAATATTTTGTAGGTCAAGTTCCTCATTTTCGGAAGATGCGCGAAAAATGGATTCTTATAATGTGAATGCATGAAGATCGACAGCTTTGGCCAGTTGACAACAATGGATCTCAGAGGGCGGAAAGCGCACGTGCATTTCAGCCAGGTGCTTAGTTGAGCAAAAAGGTTCGGGATGATCCAATATGCCACCGCAATGCTGCTGCTGCAAAACATTGCAATGCTGCAAAAAGTGATACGGAATCTGTTTCAACACGCGGTCAAATTATGAATGAAATCAATGGAATTTTTGCCACGCGACAAATATGTGTTTTGCTCCACTTTTTATGCTGGGCACAATTAGGAGTATATACCAGACACCTAAATCCGTTTGAAACATGTCTCTATCATTGCATACAAAGCCTTGTTACTGATTACCTGGTAGACTGGCCTTTAGTCTGGACTCCAGGCGGCCGGACTGCTGGGCGGATTGAGCGCCAGCCGACCGCCCGTCGGCCCGAGCTGCCTAAGCAAACTCAGCTGCCTCAGCAGCAGGTGTTGTGGGTCGCAGCCGGAAGTGGTTCTCAGACGGTCAGCAGTCAGCAGTCAGCAGCCGTGGCGCGCTGCGCTCGAGCGACGCCGTGATATCATGCGCCCGTGGCACGCCGGAAACGCAGCGTGCATTCATTGGGCCAATATATGCACCGGCTGCAGCGGCCGTGGTGGAGACTTGCAGAGTGGCACCGGGGCCGGCACATTATGACTTAAACAAATGACAGTCATGAGGCTGGTTACGGGCTATGCATTTTGCCTTGAAATTCGCATTGATAACCGCGAACTATGCATCTTTCCCGTTGGCAACCAATGTGTTTGTCATTGCCTAAGAATCTGAAAGTTCTGAATGGACAAATTTGTGGCAACACAGTTCATGCCAAGCAGGGCTTGTTGTATGAGTGCCACAAGACTCGGCACGGTCCACCCTGCCCTCTGACGTCATCTGACCTCTAGCGCAGCCACTGCCACCGGCCGTGGGTCATGCCTGTCAAGCCCAGATAGTGAGCGCTTAAAGCGACCCACCCAGCCACGGGTGGGTGAATCGGAAGGAAGGCTTTTCTAACTGACCGGGCTACTGGGATACGCGAAAACACTGTCCATAAGTATGATCGATTCGTCACAAGGTGGCATATTTAGCCTGCAGAGGTAATAAACCACAAGAAAGCTAATAGCCTTTTAGCCATAACGTCTGGAGAGCACACATCAAAATGTATTAAAAGAGACGTTCGTTGATAAATAAGGACTGCCATCAGGATTGTATTGTCGGAACTGAAATTACTTACAATCCGTTACACTAATCAATCTCTTTTTTAAACAAACATCAATCACATTGATGAATCAGGGCCAGATTCGGAATCATATCATATCTAATCGGACTTGAAAGTTAAAAAACTGGAGTATCTAATTCAGACACGTATCAAATCAATCTAGCTTTAACACACTGGATAGGAATCAGCCCCCTACTCATCATGACGTCTCCAGCCCACTAACTTTGTTTTAGCCGCGACTTACGGATGGATAGACTTGGAGAACTTTCATCTGTTGCATCACTTTGCAAACCGTCTGTGTTTTGAAGCATGGATAGTGTAGGGGAAGACCTATTGCTCGTGACGCTGCTTGAAGAAGGGGCTCTCGGACAACACTCTGTTAGGGTTCAGGAAGCGTTCGAGGGGCGCACAGATAATGAAAAATTCGCCTCGATATTGACAGACTAGCGGAACGACGTCGACGAGTTGATTCGCCTGCTGTACTGTTCATCATACGGTGCTTTTCCCGGGGTATCGCAAAATCATTACGAGGGAGCAGCATCGGTAACGCACGCTAGGCCTGCCACGGACTGACACCATTCGTCACCACCAGAACCAACAGCAACTGTTGCCAAGACCATAGAAGTAACAAGGAAGAACCCTCAGATCTCTGCAAGTGCAGAGCCTTTGGATTTGATGGCACCTTAGGCCGGCCGCGAATTCGGACATCTTTCTCGTGCTTTGATTGGTCAGGGGATGGGATTTCGTCACAGAATTAAATCCCGGTGTACCAAAGTATGTGCTGCGTCACATTCTAGGATCCTCAGACAGAAAAATATATAATTTTGAACATGCACACGCGTGCAACCTAAGAGATCCCCGTTTGGTTGGTAGTGAAGTTGACGCGGCGGGACGAATTTCAGTATCTGCACATGATACTGAGCACAAGCAACGTGGAAAGAACCTGAGATGTAGTTTCCTATTCAGTTGGAGGGGCTCCAGATGCCCCCCCCCCCCCCCCCTCCTCCACGAACATGGGCTCTAGGCCCCCAACATTGAGATGAAGTTGGAGTAAACCCTAGGGAAAAACCCTTTTGTTGATGTACCCAGACAATTTTCCCGAAGGTGGCATACTTACTTTTAATGAATAATGAAACAACAAATAACAAATAGCCAGGCAGTATCACCGCACAACTTCCGTGTCAGGTGAACATGTCTCACTGGCGCTGTGTAAAAACGATGTTTACGAGGCCTTTACTGTTTGGAATAATTCATGCATGCGTGAATCTTTGGATGTATGTTTACCGGTAAAATTAAGCTTCCAATTATGCCTTTTTCTGCCAGGACCATTCAAACAGCGCCAAAGTTGCAATGCCTCTGGTCTCGTGATCACGATTCCGCTGCTTACAGACGGGATGTACTGCCCTTTCAGATGGCCCCCTTTGAGTGGCGAGTCGTGGTCATCCTGCTGGTGAAAACAGCCCTGGCCCGCTGCGAGCATCAGTACAGGCCAAAGCCCGACCACAAGTCAGTCTCCGTCGTAGACCTTGTCGAGAGCAAAAACACGCGGTGGGTAACACGTGACTGCTCAACTACTTCTTCGTCAGTTTGTTGTTGCGTCGGAATGGGTCAGGGATTAAATTGCTTGTTAGAAAATAGTACTGAAATATATAGATATAGGTAGTAAAATAAATTATGTTAATAATATAGCTTACTTATCCAATAGTGGTTATTACTGATCAACATATCACAGATTCACCTGTAACTTGGATTTGGTTTGATCAGACGATTAAAATACAACAGATTTTTGGTTGAATTTAACAACGAATTCTTTTCTTCGTACATTGCTATGCATGATGGGACGCATTTTTGTTGGGCATTGCCAGCAGTAGACCATGACATCAGCCAAACATTGCAGAGGCAGTTGGATCCTGGCTTCCCAGTTGTTCCGTAAATAAAAAGTTGAAAGCACCATCTGGAGCATGCAATGCGCTGGTATCTGTCAGGAGAATTGATACCGATGCCTTTTCTGGATATTGCGTGCTTCTTCTGCATTCTGACGAGTTCACAAACGTAGGACTTTATTGGCGCGGAGAAACACGACATTCTCATGTACAGGAAAGGTAGCGAGCGTGAACTCTCCCAAATATCATGATGCTCGCTTTACAAATGACAACAATGCAGTTTACCGTTCGGTGTAGCGGAAAGCGCTGTACTGGCCGGCCTTCTGTGCCATCCTGCTCGGCTGGGGGGTCGTTTCTGCAGCGCCTTGTCCGTACACGGCAGGTACGACCCGTCGCCAGCCGACCTGGACATCGGGAGACTGATGATGAAGCTCGGACGCTTCCTGGACACGCAGTACATGGGCATCGAGCAGCCGCCTGCCGCCGGCGACGTCAACCACACCACCTGGAAGCTGCCATTCAAGGTGCCGCCTCGCCGGCTCCCCTCTATGCTATGCAGTAATCGGAGGGCCTAGGAAGGGTACTTGGCGCGGGTGTAGTCAGAAATGGCCGTGGGACATTTTAGTTGGGCTGCTTATGTGTTCGTAAGGCAACAACCTGGAACAGATGTGAGAAGTGTGTGCAGCATGTGATGTATGAAATGTGATAGGATGTGCCGACCTGTAAGGCGCTGCCCGGGCGCCAGGGGTTAACTGTGGCACGCGCCTCAACCTTGAACGGCTGTACTACGCTGTGACCGCCGCCCCACCCCAGCGCGTGAGACCGACGCCACGCGGTGACCCGCTGACCGGCGCCACGCGGTGACCTGCTGACCGGCCCGCCGCAGGTGAAGCCGAACGGCCGGCTGAAGCTGACCTCCCGGCTGCCGGCCAGCCTGCGCCGTCTCCGCCTCGACAGGCTGTCGCTTCCCAACGGCACCACGCGGCGGGTCCGGCTGTCGCGGCGCGTGCAGCGCAAGATGCTCAAGTACCTGCACGTGTACACGCACTGTGCTGTGCGCCACCGGTGGAAGGACCTGGGCGTGCGCTTCTGGCCGCGCTGGGTGCGCACGGGCCTGTGCGACACGGCCCGCTCCTGCTCCGTGACGGCCGGCATGACGTGTCAGCCGGCGCGCAGTCGCCACCTGACCCTGCTGCGCTGGCACTGCCAAGACTGGCGGCGCGGCCGGCACTGCAAGTGGCTGCACGTGCGGTACCCGGTGGTGACGCGCTGCGCCTGCGCCTGCCAGCGGCCGTAAGGCTGCGCAGCAGGCGGCGCCGGCCGGCCGCGCGCCATTCTCAGTACCTGACCATAACGGCGCCCGCCGCCCGGGCCTCGTCGTCGAACACGAGACGCGTGCCGCAGTAGACATTCCTGTGGCGCGCGCCAACGCTCGGCGCACGCTCGCCACGGATGGCGGTGGAGTGGCTCGTGGGGGCTGACGTGACATCGTGACCTCATCGCCGCGCAGTAGGGTGTGGTCGTCAGTTTGACTCGCCCCCTAGTGGGATGTGGCCGTTCGCCTGACTCGTTCCCCACTCGGGTGTGACCATCAGCTTAACTCGCTCCCAGTCGGATGTGACCGTCAACTTAACTCGCCCTCCGGTGGTATGTGGACCGTCAGTTTAGCTCATCCCCACCGCGGTGTGACCGTCAGCTTGATTCATTCCCAGGGGGGGGGGGGGGTAACCCTCAGTTTTACTCGTCCTCGACGTGGTGCGACCGACAGCTTGACTTATCCCCCACCAGGGTGTGAGTGTCAGCTTGGTTCGTCTCCAGTAGGGGGTAACCCCTCAGTTTTATTCGTCCCCGGCGTGGTGCGACCGTCAGCTCCCCAGTGGGGTGAAATCCTCGGTTTAATTCGTCCCCGGTGTGGTGTGACCGTCAGCTTGACTCGTCCCCAGTGTCACCTGTCATCTGTTGACGCCGAGTGCGCTACCCACATCGATGTTATTTATTCCTCGTCGTGCCCGTTGGGCGAGCCACCGGCTGGACAGGGTGGCCTGCATTGCGGGCATTGCCGCCGCCCGCCGGCACAATAGGTGCTCGGACATTCCGGCGGTGGAGCGAGGGTGGGGGGGGGGGGGGGGGGGAGGAGGTGGCCGGCTCCGCTTGGTGCGGTGCAGACCCATACAACGTGACAGCGGTCCCCAGTGAGCCGCGCTCGGTCACCGGCCGGCCGGACCCGGTATGACACAGCTGTGCACAGATCCGGTTGACACTGCCCACGAAAGTCAACCGGCTTGATCACAGCTGTCAGCATAGATCC